GGCCCAACATCTTCAGTAATGAAAAAGTCAATTGATAGGCAAAGCCATCACAATATCAAAGGCCTAATCCCTGCAATTCTGACTCAGGTGACAGTTCACAGGGGTCAGAGTGGCTGACACTGACCTCAAAAGCAGGTTTTAACTATTCAACATACTGAAAGCTGCTGGGCTATCACACCATTAGACTGGAACAAACTGACAAATCAATTTCATCAAGGAGATGACTTTTGGGGGGGTGGGGGAGAGGCAGATCCGCCAATCGACAAATCCCTGCATTTCTCACACAGGTGGTTGGACAAAAGCTGAGTGCACCATCAAAGACATTTTATATCTACCAAATAAATGCCTTTGTGCAAAACTAACTCCCACATTTTCCTTCGGCACAGCTCTAAATGTTTTAAACAAGCATTTTTTGCATATTCAAAGTTATTGAAAAGTGAAAATACTTTTAAATTCCTCCATTTCTTGCTTTATAGGAAAGTGTATATTTTAATTAAAACCAGAGTACACAACAATGTTAATAAATAATCAATGTAAATAAATAACCAATTTCAAGAAAGACAGCAAACCATAAAATGTATAAAAATAGCTTGCTTTCTATTTGAGAGGAGTATACAATGTTTACTGTTAAGAATCATTTTAATCAAATAGTTTTAAAATAAATAATGATTCGGTCCCTAAAAGCAGAAGGAGAAAAGTAGTTCACTGTATGAAGTTTACAGTTATTTCATGTCCTACTGACAAGAGGTTTCTGGTTGATTCCTTCTCTTTAGTTAAAGCAAAATGCAAGCAAAGCCAAACATTTTGTTTTAAAACTGTACCTTTTCAAGGTATACTCAGGGAAAGGCCCTAAAACTTCCTTTCAGTTAGAATTTACTGCAGTGCAGTTCTAATGCATGAAGAAAACCTGACAAAAAGCAGAAGTTATATATTTGGTATTTTGACTCAGCCTGACATTTTAAAACTTCATGCTATGGTTTCGGGAAACCTTTCGAAGTTCAAGAACTGCTCGTTTAAGTTATAGACTCTACACAACAAACTATTTGAGAAACTTTCTTTCCTGATTGTCCAGAGAATGAAGCATTGAACTACTCAGTGAACTAGGATTCCAGAACAGTTAAGAGTTCATGCAAATGTTTTCATTAAATGTCTGCAAAAATTGAATGTGGCCAAAATTACTGCAGAACCAGTAAATTAAAGCATGCTTTCTGGGTTTTTTTAAGAGCTTCACTTCAGATCTTACATCAAGTTGTTAAAGATACGTATCTTTATTTGTAAACCAGTTTTAAAATGTTTAGAACATTTTTATATTTCTTACAGGTTTAGATTAACAATTTTGCTCTAAGCATTTGAACAAAGTAACTGTGAGCAATGAATGTTTTTCTTTTCCAAGAACTGCCATGGCAAAAAAAAAAAAAAAAAAAAACAAATCACTTCGGAGTTCCATGCACTTTAAAATGTTCAGTAAGAGATGCTACAAGATTAAAAGCTCAATCAGAAGAGACTGAATCTAATTGCAATTATAGAATTAAGAAGTATTAGGAAGGAAAATCTTGTATCTCTGTAAAGCTCTATCTTTGTAAAATTTCATGGACTGAAGAAGCACTCTTATCTGTTGCAGAAACTAAGCCCTTCCATAAAGAATACTGTGTCCCAAAGAATTTTAGCCACAACAATGAACTGATCAATTGAGAATTTCTCCCTGTTTATGAAAACTACCCCTTTAAGTTACAGGATTAAAGAACTGCTGAAAAATTAGATCTCAAACTACTTAAGATTTCGGAAGATCACAGCACTGGGATGGGTTCAGAATTGGACAGGGGACACACACAGGGCAGGAAGAGCTGCCAATAGTCTCACCGGCCTGCCCAGCTACACAGACCTGGAGCTTTCATGTGGCCCTAAAAAGCAGAACCTCTCAGTTGCACCTCCACTGCAGGCATTCAGCTATAGCTTGTCCCCAGTGATCTACCACCTAGAAAGGCCATAAGGGCAAACTTTGAAAGGTAACTGTATCCTTCCTAGAGTGTTGTTTCACCTTTTTGCTTATTCCACGGAAATTGGTAGTTATCTTCCTAAGAAACAGGACCCCAAATACAGATACTGGAATTACACAGTCTGAAGAAAACAACAACAAAATCAAGAATGACCATGGGTAACTCTAGATCTAGGAAAGAAACCATTTCTTTTGATCATTTGAAGACATGGAGAGATTTCTGTGTAATAGTTACCAGGGTACCTAGGAACTATGCATTCCATTTATGAGGAATGGAAACAGCCTGAAATCTATTTCAAGTGTAGCATCTCTTCACAGAAATGTACTGTCAATGCTTTCCATTCATCCCATCTTCCCAAGAATATTTAAAGGAATTTGAAGCTCCCATGTTGAACTTGAACTGCTTTTAGTGCTAAAACCTTATTTTAATGACTTATTATCATAGAAGTTAATTTCTGAAACAAACAAACAAAACCAACCCACCCATTCACCCCCACTAAATCCCAAACAAAAGCCCCACAGGAGGCTCTGAGCCCAGAGAAAACTAAGACAGGAGTTAGTCTGAGCTGTCAAAGCCATTGCCAGGGAACAGGTTAGACAAGACTGACACTACCACCACAGGCACACATGGCTTGGAGTGAGGTAAAGGTAGAGAAGGCAGTAAGTCAAACATTTGCAAGCATCCAATGTGATATTTTTCTTTTATACTTCCATGCAAAACCCTGGAATATACCTTTACATTTCCTAAAGACACACATGGAATTATAAATAGCTGAAGAAGCAGCTACTCCATCCATTAACACCAATGCCATGATACAGATTATACACACATTGGGGAGGCCTAAATCTGCATTTCTCAAACCACCACTGCCAGAGTATAAATTTAGTTCTATCCACTCCTTTGTAATGTAAAGGTCACCTGTTAAAATCTTAAAGTGCATTCCAGTGTGGGTTTTTTAATGCCTACTTCTGACGCTGAATTCAAAATGTAGATTGTTTTAATTATTATTTTTAATACCTTGCCATTATCCTTCCATTTTCCAACTAAGGTCAGAGAAGCATTTGTTGATAAGCTTCCTCTGATCCATCTTCCATGCATTATGTTTTGGGGAAGGAATCATGTTATATTGGCCACATTCATTAAAGTGACATTAAAGGCAGATATATTTAGAGCAGTGCTAAAATACAAAGCTGTAAGGGTAAAAAAAGACAACACGTAATCCAGAATTTTAGAAAGGCCCTTGTGAATAGAGTGTTGAGTGAACTCTTTTTCTTCCCTTCATTCATTATTATGGTAATGTTCGTCTACCTCCAGTCTGGGTTGTGCTACTTGTTTCTTTTTGCACTACTCGATCCTCTCTTGCAGCTCTAAACCAATTCACTTTCAGGGCTTCTCTCAGCATTCTATCCACAAGTTCCCTTCCAAAAACTTAGATTATTTTCCCAGTCCTGATGAGGTGTTCTGTATGCATAAACTACATTTCACTTTTTGTCTTCACCTAGCCAAAAAGAGAAAAAAGGAAACTACAAATAAGTGTACACGATAAGATACTCTGAAGTCTGATCATCAGTGAAGTGAAAGAGCCTTACATTTATCAAGGAAGAAAACTCAGAGTCAACAAGAAAAGATATATAGAAAAGTTTTGCCATGGTTGCTGCATTTCAAAAAGCAAATGCATATGAAACTACTACTATTGAAAATGTTCTATGATCAGGACCTCTCCTGCATCCAATACAATCAGCTACAGAATAAACTTCAAGAAACTGAAGTGGAAGTGGTTGTTCATTTGTTTTCATGTTTTTTACTTTACTAAAGCCACCCAGGTATGAACCACTTTCACTAGTAACCTCCCTAACTTTATACACAGGCATTCTGAGATACATGGGAGTGCTGCATTCATGTCAATCGCATATTAACTTGAAAACCTGATAGTTGCTCAAATGTCAACTTTAGATGGGATTTTCAAAGGTGCTTGGGCAAGTAAGCAATGTTACGATTCCAAAATGCCCCGCTAAAAACCCAAGGCAATATCAACTGCTTTACTGCTGGCCATCTTAACAGAAACATCCAAAAAAATGCATCTATTCAACAATTCTAAATTTCTTCTCACTCAGCCAAACCTACCCTAAACTCTACCTTACCTTTATTTTATCTTAGATATTGATACAGTTCACATTGTTTATGTATTTAGGCTGGCAATACTTTTGTGAAGTGCTGTTATTTTCATTTTACATTTCATGTCAATCCTGGTGGAGCAGGACACAGGAGCTGAATGCTAGCCCTCAATAACATAACAATACAATCAGCTTGTGAATTAAAAATATCTGCAACTTGCCCAGAACTGAAAAGTGTGAGTTCAGCTTATGTTCTTTTTCATAGTAAAGTAAGCACTGACTGGACTACACACATTGCAAAAGGATGCTCCATTTTTTAATCTAAATGAAGCAATTACCAAGTTTATGGCCTGCCACACCACAACATGCAGGCTCCAGGAAGCTCACTTCAGAACTGCTGTGTGTTGAATATGATGTAAAGCCTCACAAATACCCATTCAGAAAACCACTTACACACAAGAAACACCCCCCAGAAACAAGGTTACTACTTTTCTTACACCAAAGCAGCACCAAGATTTTGTAGCATAATAAATGTAAGATGTCCACAGTACAACACAGTGTAACTGTTAGAGGAAAACTGTATTACATGACATATATATACACCAGTAAGAAAGTCCTATCCAAAGACACAAATTCTGCTACCTTAGTCAAAAAGATAACTTTTTGTCATACTAAAAATGCCAACTTTCAAAACATGTTAATTCTAGAGAGGAAGAGTTCCTTTTTGCCTTGCCTTCAATTATTTTTGCCCTACCTTCAATTATTTTTGGCCCAGTTAAAGCATATACATCTTATCTGGAAACTACTATCAGAGCAATCCTGTACAAATCTCTAATTTATTAATACAGCAGGTGAAATTGAAAAGCATTTAACAAGTGACTCTCCTTACCTTCAGCACAGCAATGAATGGTACGAAATTAGCTCTCTGAAGACCATTTTTATAGAGATCTGAAAGAAAGGAAATCAGTACCATTTTGCTACTTAGTCTTAATAACAATGTCAGCTTGTCTTTTAAAAAGTCTGGCAAATAAAACTCAGTGTTGCTACAGAGAGGAGGAACAAAAGGTAGAAAAGGAGAGCTGAAATTGATTTATCTTCTTTTGCTGTATGAAATTTCAATACGTTCTTATCAAAGAAAGGAACATCGCGATAAAGTCTGAAAAAGGCAGGAAGTGAAAGATGAATTAAACCTCTAATGACATATAACTGATTTTAGCAGAAGAAAGATCAAGATCTGTTTTAAAGTGAGGATATAAAAAAAGGATTTGTAATGCTGGGTATACATTGGTATGATTGTAAGGCCAAAACTATGCAACTGTTAAGTCCCAAGTATTTGGAAGAATGGAAAATCCCAGAGTAAACTACACTATTTTGAGTTTACAAAGTTACTATCATTCTTAATCAGTGTACTGTAGTACACTTTATTTTCTAACAATTCTACCAGGTACATTCCCTTTTCCAAAGCAGAAAAAAGGGTCATCCCCAAGGGGAAAAAAAAAAAAAAAGTAAACTTATGCAGAGTTCCTAAAAATATAACGGAATTTTTTTTAAAAATAAAATGGTATGCCACAAAATGCAAATCTACACTCAAAGACAAGACAAATCATAAAAATGAACTGCAAAGAAGCATCTTATATGTTATTTATCTCTATATTTTATAAATCAGAGTTCTCTTCTCTGGAAACTATCCAACTGCCCAACACGTTCAGAACAGAATGACTTGTTCTTTTAAAATGTTATCACTTAAACTACAGGATGGGCTGCTCTTTTTCATTAATATTAGGAAGCCTTATAAAAAGGCAGTACAGCACCTATGACTGACAGGCAGAATAAATAAAAAAATACAGAGACCTGGCAGAAATGTCATCAAAAGTTCCCACTAAGACCATGCCAGGTTATTAATAGCACCTATATTCCCCATAATGCCTGAAAGCTACAACTAGGCTAAAGTTTTTATGCTCTGCCAACATCTCATGGTGGACTGAAGATACAATATGTATGAGAAACCAAGAGGACACCTACAAAATGGTTTTCACAAAATTGGATATGTACACAGAAACACTTAGGAAAATTATCAGTGAAGATGCTTCTGCACTCTAATTACTAACAAAGTTGTATGAAGCCATGTATCATTCCAATTTCTAACTCTGCAAATCACGACAACGATACGCTTGTTGAAACAGCAACCAATTGCATATTTACTTGCAAAAATTAGAGAACATCTAACAGTACTGTAAGACAGCTACTTCCGTTAATTCTTCTGGTTAATAAAGCTGAGTTTTGCATTATGTCTCTGTTTTGTGAGGATGAGAAAAACAAACTAATTTTGGTGGAGAAATGAAGCCAGGATTCCTCAAACAGTGCACCTATTCCCCTTCATGTTGCCCTAGGGCCGAAGTTTAACTTGGTTAAGCGTATCACTAATGGTCAGCAGCAGGGTACATCTGCTCTCTAATGAAAAAGCTGCTTTTCCCTTTGTATTCACAGGAAACAAATCTCTCAATTCAGTCTTAAACCTTGATGCAGCATGATACGCTAACCCAACTCTCTTTCCTGTGGGAGGATTTCAGTCTCTCCGTGAGTGCACAGGAGTAGTGAGAAGGGAAGAAGAGACAGGCATTGACCAATGTCTGGACTGAAACATAGCTCAGTTCTAGAGACACTGTTCCTAACATTCTCTATTGGGTAGCTAGTACAAGTGGATGTCTTTCAGGCTGACACGGTGACTTAATATGCATTAAAAAAACCCATACAACAATAAGGTCACAAATGACATCTCAATTTAAGATGTGGGATACAATCCCCAAGTTTTGATAAAAATCTGTCCTGAACCTTAAAGATTAGTGCTTCAAAAAACACGAGGATGGCTCCCAATCAAGTAAGGCACCAACATCCAGTTTACCTATAGTTAATCCAACTACAACAGTTATGATTTCATCCTGTTTGCTCAAACAAGGAAAATAAACCAACAGGAAACTATTTCCTCCTCTAGTGAAAACATTTGAGTGTTTTCTTTTTTTCTTTTTTTTTTTTTTTTTTTTTTTTTTTTTTATCTCTTGTACTCAATTTGGGTAGAAAAATTAACTGGTAGTTACAGTTCATACAGTAACTCTTCAGCATTTTTTGCAAACATTTGATCAATCTAAAGTGTCATAAAAAGTTGCACAGAAACTATGCATTATGCTAACTACTAATGCTACACTACAACAACATTTTTCTCCTCTACAAAAAAATTACTGTTTGGGTAAAACCCATACAGATTTGGGTATTTTGTAGAAGGATATACCTAGCTAGTCACTCTCTATCTAAAAATATTAGAAATGGAAACAACACTCCACCTAAATAATTTCCAGTGAGTGATTTCAAACCAGGCTGTGAGAATGGCATCTTAATATGGGGTTCTCCTTTGAGCTGGTGGATCAAGTCTGCAAGTTTCCAAGTTAGAAACCAGGAAGGACTGTCTCTTATTTCCCCTCTCTTCTGAAGAATATTAACTTTTCCTATCCTGGAATACATCCAAAACAGAGGCAGTATTTCACCCCTCCTCAAATCTCCTGTGCCCAAACACCCTCCCCACTGGTTTGGATAGAGTAAATCAGAAAACACAGAAGGATATGGGGGGAGTTGCAGGGAGGAACACCTTGAGTTTGAGAGAAGAAAGGAGTAAGACATAGTGAAAAACCTTTCTTCCTTAAGAACACAAAAAAACAGGGGACAAACTGGAGTATCTAAGATTCTTGAAGACTAGAGAGTTTATCAGTATTAAATACCATATGATTTTAATATGGTTGTTTTGTAGGATACTGAGATTTGTTGTATTTGGATAATACTAATAGCATGTTTGTTTTTACCTTCTGGTGGCCTGTTAGATGTTGCCACAACGACAACTCCATTTTGGAACAGATTTTCAAAAAGCTGCTTCAGAATCATGGCATCAGCAATGTCAGTGACCTGTAGAAGACAACACATTTGTTTTATCTTGCTTTCAGCTTCTGCTGCAATAGATCTGCAAGTGGCTTTATAGCTAGGAAAAATGCTTGTTAGTGAAAGCCATGGAGAAAGATTCTAATTATTGCTTGGTGAGGAAAAAAATAAAAGGGATAATTAATAAGCAGTGAATGTACCACAGTCTTTCAAAACTTGCCCATTCTTTATTGCCGAACTCCACCATTTCTTTACCAATTGCTAAATGATTCCATGTTAACTTCTATTATAAAACTACAGGTGGGAGACACAGAAAACAGACCTAAACATTTAAGAGGCCTAATTAAATAGAAACAACAAGGAAAAAAAAATCTAGAAAGAAAATACACACCAGCTGTTTTACATTTCTATTACCTTTGAGGCAAAGGTTTGCAGAGGTGAATTTAAATGGTCATGGGACTTCAGAAATAAAGACAAGTAGCCAACTATACATAATCAGCTGCTGTTGAAAATAGAATGATATGACATAGATACTATTGTGTGATTGTTGCAAAAAACAATTCAACAGATGGCCCATCACAAAAATAAGCAATTTCATTGTTCTTTTTAAGTGCCTTCTATTACTGTCCATGAATAATCAAAAGGCACGGCAGTCACTTCCAGCACAGTCAGCCTCTTCTAACCTTCAGGCACAAAATACTAACAAAAAATAAAAATGGGTGGGACAAGTGATACTGGGGAGGGAATAAAAAAAAAAAAGAAAAAAGAAAAAAGACTAAAACATAAGCTATAAAGTTTAAATATCTAAGCTTAGATTAACTAACTTGCTTTACACTACCAAGAAATAAGAGGAACACAAACCAGAAACCACTCTGTACTAATGAAAAAAAATGACATTTTTTCCAAACAAAAAGCCCCCATTGTTACAACAGCATTTATATTTCACAGGAGTTCATGAGCTGAGATAAGCAATCCCAATAAGTAAACCAACTTTATTATCATTACACTTGTTTCTCCTGCATTCCCTCTGATTACTATATAGTCACTTGTTGCATTTTGAGTTACCAAAACAGACCCCAATTCTGAGGAAATAAAAAAAGTGATGGCATGCTGAGAGTCATACTCATTACTCAACACACTGACAGACTTCTAAGCTTTGACAGTTTAGTTGTGTATGTTGTGATAGTAACACATCTACAGAAAGACTTTAACCAGTATGACTTTTTTCCCCCTACTACACCACCACTCCACCCCTCCCAACATTGCTCCATTTCTAAATGACCTTTCTGGGCAGCAAAAAAATTTAATTCTACACTAGAGACAGTAAAAGACTTAGGTTACATTTCTGACAGCTAGCTTGGAAACAATAATGTTCATGTGTAAACACCAGTTTCCTTCTATGGAATGCATTAATATGGAAATTAGTTTCCTTTTTTAAAAACAAACTTCTACACAATCAGTAACACACCCCTCAGATTTGCACATCTCTGATCGCTAAGATCCAATATTCCAAAAAGCACGTAGTAATTCACTATTGTACTATATGTCTAATGCATCTGCTTATGCACCCATCTATTGCTAATTTATTTCTTCTGAGTACTAAAGTTTAGCAACTTTGCCTGTTCATAAAAAACAAGACACAAAAGGAATCAGCATATATGAGCATTTCAGGGATAACTGAATTTGTTGTATCACAAAGCAAACCTAATAACCAAGTTTTAAAAAAGTATTATATGAATCATTTTGATACAAATTCTTGTTAAAAATACTACAAGTCGTGCTACCTGTAGAAAACAGACAGGGAAAGAATATTAATGCTTACATAAAAGAAAACGATAACATTCTCTTATTAATGAGAACTTATTAATTTGATGAGGAAATCTGATGTTTTCAGCTCCATTACAAAGAAAACCCCACAACTCTCAAAAGTTTTGTCAAAAAGCAGAGCCATTTTGAGAACTGGGTGCCAGTATGAGCTCTGTTTATCTAAAACAGCTTGGTAAAGACAGAAAATTCCTACAAGGTAAAGCAGGTAGAAGACAGTAACTAAAGCACTGTCATTTCTCATGTTTTTTACTGTATCCAGCATTCATTGCAACAGGGAACAAAAGCAAAGGCTACAAATTACCAATAAGGAGAGCCTGCTAATGGAAAGAATGGAGAAATTTCATTAGCATTTAACAGAAAAGATTTTTATGACCTAGTGCTGCTTTCCATTATGACTCACATTAAAAAAAAAAAAAAAGGAGGGGGGGTAAAAAACAGAAAAAACACTAGACTAATAGGTAATTTACATGTGTAAGTGCCTGAGACTCTGTCAGCCACTGATTGGTACAGTTCCACGTAATGAATGACAAACATAAGCATGTATTATCAGCAATTAGTATTAGCACAAAAATAAGAGCCTAATTTTTATTAGAGGCTTTTAATAGCATGCAGGTTAGTAAAAACTCCCTAAGTTGTAGTTTGGTTTAAGTCCAAGTGGTACCAATGATACATAAAGACCAACACTGTATGATCATTTAGCTTACCAAGAAGTAGGGATTCTGTTTTCATTATCAACACTCACTAACATATGTTACAGTCACACACCAAAATTAGAGCTTCTAATTACCTGTGTATAGTTATTTGATCACTAAACAATAACTAGTCTTTTTTTATTGGCCAACCTCTGTATTCTGAAACATCAAAATTGTAATTAGAAATGGCTTAATTCTAGTGGTTTTTTTCAAATTTAGGACAAATTTTGAGAATGACTTAAGACTTTAATGATTTAAAAAAAGGCTTTGATATTTACAGTAAACTGTATGACAAAGATCAGTAAGAAGTAGCAATGCTTTAATAACCTGAGAGCTTGCAGCTCAGGCAAATGCTGATAAAATACCTGCTTCAGAATGGACAAACTCAGAAGCTGCTTAGTGCCATCACTAAGGTCCTGGTTATCACATAGTATTTGCAGAAAGAAACATTTACATTTAAGACACAGTAATTTTTTTTTAATATGACAGTAGTTTAGAACACACAAAATCACTTTTAAAAGTATTGAAATATTTTTCTACATCAATTAATCAACTCTCCATTTGTTTGACAGTTCTCCAGGCTTTGCAACAAGATTCACTTCAGAGTACTTCTATTTTGCTTTAGCCCACTGTCAGAGGACTGTGCAACCTCAGCAATGCTTTCATTTTTTTGAAGTTCTGTATTTGGTATCCTCTAAAATATGAGCACTAATGTCACTTTGTGCTGTCCCTGTTACAGTATCACTCATCTGTGTGCATGATCTTAAGATAAATAAATTCAGCTTATACTTGTTTTTTTCCAAGAGGTATCTGAAAGCACCCTGAAGTGTTTCAAGCAAATCAATAGTTTTCTGATACTTCCCTCACACACAAGTATTCCGTCAAGTAGAACAGACCCAACTTGACATTCCACCTGTCAAAACAGACAGTAGCTTTGTTTGCAAGCCAGAGCAGTGTATGTTCTGAGTCTCCAGCTCTTTCCAGTTTCATTTTAATCTAGCAGTTCTTTAAATACGGGTGAATCAGATCACAGTGAAATCTACCTATTATCTCCACTGGGAAAAGAAGCTACAAACATCCAGAATTAGAGATGGCTCTTTATTATCAATGTTAATTGTGTCACCACATAAACTGCTCTTCCAGTCACTGCACTACTTTATGACTATTTAAGCAGAAGGTTTCTTATCCCAAATTCAGTGCCTTCTACAGAATTTCTGAAAGCTGGGATTCCTCTTCAGTAGGCAAAGCCTGCGTAATGGTTCCACACTCAGAAAATCAGTCAAGAAAACCAGCTATTCAGAAATCTGTGAATTTAGAACATTAGTACATCCAGAACAAGTAGATTTTAAAAATTCACATAAGAATGCAGAGTCTTAGATACAAGAATTATATTTTAAAGTGTGTATTACTTTCACAACTGTGACCCACTGACAAAAACAGGTGATTTTTACAACTGAAGTGATTGATGTACCTCAAGCAAGTCAGCAGGGGGAGCAATCAATTTGGAAACAAAAACTACAGTCTCCCCTTAAAATGTGGAAACATGAGTCTGGAAACACAGCTAAACTAGGATATGAAAGGAATGGGCATCTATACAGAAAAGCAGGTATTTACACTAATACACGGTACAGCAAAGATGCCTGTACCATTTGAGCATTTAATGTCATGACAACACTTCTCTCCATCCCCCCAACCTTCTCATTTCTTCATAGCGTAAATACAACTCTGTATTTCAATTCTATACTGCAAGTTTCAGAAGCCTAGTATTTATGTTCACTAGAAAAAGCACAATTTAAATGATCGAACAGCAGCACTTGAATAAGTTCCCATATTCAACTTGTGCAAGCACACTCAAACAGGAAATACGAAAGAGGGTGTTGAAAAGCTATAGAAAAAAAAATCAACACAAAACAAACCACTAGATGTTAAAGCCATTTAAAACTTGTACAGCACTGGGATTTTTTTTTGATGACAGGAGAAGACTGACATTAAAACAAACAGGAGACATAGATAATGATCTCATCTGTGAATGAAAAACTTGAAAATATTGAGAATTCTTTCATAAGAGAAAAGAAAGGCATGTTATTTAGACATCTATCTGCCTCCTACTTGAAGTGGTATAACAAATACCACATACATTGAGTGGAATACGCAAACATAACTCCAACTGCATATATGCTTTTAAGTATCTTGAAAGTATTCAAAAGTATGATTTTTTTAATTTTTTTTTTTTTTTAGAGAAAACCATTAGAATTAGAGTTAGAATTTATATCCACTCTTAAACTTGGTTGCTGTAAATTTTACTGCAAACTGCCAAAGTTAAAGGCAAAGAACAAAACCACACCACAATCACCACAATTTTTTAGTTAAAATGGTGGCGATGAACTTCTGTATAATAATTTGAAACAGTTCTGAGAAAATTTACACATTTTAGGGAAAGCATTCTACCAAAATATGTTTGATGCTCATAACTGAAAAACTCCCAACACATAATTAATACACCACTTTTACAAAATTTTCACAGGAAGCAGGATTTTAAAAGAATACTGTTTTCTTATCTTGTGCCTCAAGACATAATTTTAAAGTGTTCTATTGCCTTATACTGATTAGCATATTAAATAGAAATTAACATAGGACAAAACACAAAACAGTGCCTTTCTCATACTTGTTCGTGTATTTATCTGCATAATTTGATAATCTATAATTTATCCTTGGTCATTACTATAAATTTACAATCTCTAGCAGCAGATCAGGTTCTTTTAACATACTGATATACTGCAGAATATCTCTCAAATAGAACTTTAATTAAACATCTTCAAATGAGATTGCAATGACTCCACACATTCTGAAAACGCAGAATAAAGGACTACCCCTTGTTTCAAAATGCAAGAGTAACTGATAAGAAAAATACCTACTACTTTACAGCCACAAAAATCCCCTTTATGGGAGCTGGTCATAAACTGGTTATTTTCTCAGGTGTGCAGGCTTATATAATAGTAGCTAGAGATACAAATTGATCTATCCATTTTTGTAATGTATTCACTTAAGAGCATAATGCAGACAATTTACACTTAATAGAAGATTCTTTTACTATTGGTGACTTGAGAACTAACATAGATCTGTTCTTATCTTGCTTTGCATTTTCTCTCTGAATCAGAAATCTCAGCTGATTAGAGCTGCCCAATACCACTAGCCTTCTCCTAAAAATTTTTACGAAGTAATTCTACACTTAAGATTTGTGACATGCTCATAAAACAAAGCTCACAAGCTGTGCAAAACAAATGAATCAACCAAGTTATCTTGGGCAAAGATCATTTTGAGTTTATTTTTAAATTTTCACATTTCATTCAACAGAAGTTTCTTAAAATGTTAGTTACATTGATCTGATCTGGCACTGCCATACCAATGGCTCAAATAACTCTTTCCTAGAGTTTAGGTTGAATTTGACATGTTATTTCCATGTTCTTAATCACACTGAGTCAATTCTGTTCCATTCTATGAACTACAGCAAAGACCAGGCATGCCAAGCAAGTATCAGGTGACTATCCACCCAGGCACTGTACAGACTCAGTATAGGATGATGGTCCCTGTCCTGAAGTGCTCATGAGCCTCCCACTCAACTCTGATACACCCTTGTATAACCAGTAACCAGATTGGTAAATGAAAGCACCATAAGGGGACTTACATTGCTGACTTGCATCTTACCTCCTGGGAAAAAAAAAAAAAACAACAACACACCACACCAACACAAAAAAAACCCAACAACAACAACAAAACCAAAACCAAACAAAACCCCACAAACTACCATTTTCAAAACTGTGAAATGACTTCTAATCTTCAACTTCTACAGTTCACTACTGTTCAGTAATTTAAATACTGTAATAGCAATAACAATTTTCATACTTTAAAAATAATTTTATGATGTTTCCCTTGAGGCCAAGGAGTAATCTCTGACTTCTTACCTGAAATTCATCAAAACATAAGAGAGCAGCCTCTTCACTTATTTCCTCTGCTACTGGTGCAATCGGGTCATATGATTTGGCCATAAATCCTTGCTTTCTTTTTGGCAAGCTCTGCTTAAGGCGATGTATTCCTCAGTTGATAAAACAGAAAACAATAGATATTTCTTACTTCTTTTTTTTTTTAGGAAGAACAAAATTACTTAGCTATCAAACAAAAAGTAACCCAGTCCAGTGAAAACAAGAAATCTTCACATTTAGTTCAATTTCAAGAGGGCAAAACAGTTTTCAACCACATTCAGGCAACTATTAAAATCTCGCAGATTCTGTGATTCATATTTTTTTGTTTAGAAATATGTAAAACAAATATCAGAGAACCCTTTAATGCTATGCACCTATACTTTATCTTTTAAAACCTGATATAAATTAGAGTTTTATCTTGCTCCAATTCATGACCTTAGTTCCAGTTTCACTTTGTAATTTGGCATTTTCTGTCTTAATCCTCTCTCCAAGTATGAAAAACCCCTATGGTGTTTACAAAACAATGGCACAGCTCTCTGTGCTGCATGCTCTGAAGGTATACTCAGAATGCATTTAGTTGAAAGAACAACATAGCAACATGGTTATACTTTAAAATGCAAATATGATACTGGCACAAAGTAAGATTGTTACATCCATACTTCACTGACATATGGATTGTATTTCATCTGACTATAAGCAAACATTTGTAAAACAAAGATCCTGCAGTAAGAAGCTACTTTTGTTAAGATTAAGCACAACTGACAAGAAATGGAAACAAAAAAATCTCAACAATGACCCAACAATGATAAAAAAAGAAGGCACTAAAAGTGGCAGAAGTTGCTTACATCGATGAAAGCTACCCAATAAAAATGCAGCTGTCACAATACTTGTAAATTACAGCATTATTTAACAATTTCACAGTATTTTAAATTCAGAGAATTTAGAAACAGAAGCAAATTTATAATACCTAAACCAGTATCTTAATCAAAACAAAGTACTTTATCCACCCTGTCAGAAAATTTTCTGAAACTTAGGATGAACTTCCTCCTATTATTTTTTCCTATAAATTACTGATAGTGTTACTAAGGTTGTCAACCAGAAGAGTTCTTATTCTCTTTGGCATTTATACCAAATTCAGTTATTGCTTATTGAAAATGCAGACTGAATTTAACCTTTACTGTTTCAGTTTTGGCAACTGTCGTCTTCAGATTGTATGTAAGCTAACTGGCAACTGGAAAACATTTAACTAAGGATTTAATCCTAAATAGACAACCAAGTGTTATACAATCAGTTATATAGAATCTTTGAGAAAAGATATTTGAGATATAACATGCAATTAATATCTACTCTGGTATAACACAACAATGCTAAAATCCTTTAACTTCTCGCCTATTTTTTACTTTTTTTTGCTTAAATACTTAAAGTTACACTGATGAATATGAACATGAGAATGAGACAGACTGATTTATAGATACCACATTTCATAAAATTCTTGTAAATACCTGTGTCTGCACTTACTCTGGTGTACATCTAGCATGAAGCCATGAAAATGGACTCTCTTCTTCTTTTCTACTTCTAAGTGAGAGTAGAACATGTCCATCACCATTGTCTTTCCTGTGCCTTCATATCAAAACAGAGAAAAAAGCCACCAAACAGGTAGTTAATTTAAGAACAGTATGTACTGATTACAATAATGACTGTTCATTAGCTTTAAACTAATGAAACTGTACTCTTCTGCAGAGTAAGTACAAAATCACACTGCTTGTGAAGAACAGTTGTATCTTCTGTTCAAAAACTTGGAACAATAGCAGTTATTTTTCTGCTTCAAAATTTTGATCCATACAGAGAAGTCTCAAAGGTTACACAAATGGCTCCATACACATCCAGAAAACACCCTTAGAATTTCCTTTTGAGAAGCAAGTATGTTTTCATGCTGCATTGTTGCAATTAGAACATATAAATTCTGTCTGCGGCCCCCTCAATTGCCTCCCAAAATCTTAAACTGCGTTATTAAATATCAGTGAGTGGATAACGCTTAAAAAAACCTACACATGCTAATGTAGTCCAATCCAACAGCTTCCAGAATCAGACTGTAATCATATGAAATAACATCATAACATAGAAGAAAACTAATCTGGAAAAAAACTAATCTAATTCATTAAAACAGTAACACTACCTAAATATAAAGCTTTTAGACACTTCAGAATTTGAATAAACTTGCATTTAGAGAAAATTTCATTAGAACTGATGCAACTGAAACTTACCAACATCTCCATAGACATAAAGACCTTTTGGGGGTTTGTTTTTTGCGAAGAGCTGCAAATCAAGAAAAACAGAATAAATGTGAATATAGGGTAAAATAAAAGCAAGCACATTGCTGTGGCAAAGTAAAAAAAATAGCTACACTTAACCACCAAAGCAGCACTACCTACCTAGTAAAGTGTGACCCTGAATAGATCGTTAGTTCAGAATTAGTAAGCAATCTTCATGCTGTATTTGTGCAAATTCTACAAAAAAGGCCAAACACACATGCAGGGTTTGTTGTGGGTTTTTTTTTTTCAGATAATTGTGAAAATATTCTCATCTCCACTCCTAGCACACGTCTTTTTACCAGAACACATATAAAATGATTAAATGTTTCCCAATCCATCATCATCAAAACAAATCCTTTTCCTCATTAAGCCCTTTGAACAAACAGTCTTAGGAGAAAGGATATAAAATTAAGCAGCATTGTAGTATTTAGATATATGCACTATGTACCTATTAAAGCAGCTCTGTTTAAGATATAAACCATTAGGATTTAGAAAATCAGTATTGCAAAGCCAGTGTGCATTGTAGGTCTCCTTTCTCTCCACCTGGAATCTGAAATGCAGAATTATCTCTGGTTTAAACATGATTAGAATCAGTGGAGCCACAGTGAAAATATATACCTATATACACATGCATGTGTGTGTGTACGTATATATGAAAGGTTATTTTCAAAGTATGTCTTTTATTAATCATTTTTTCAAGTGAGTTAATCTTGAATACTGCTTCAGAATTCTTAATCTATTAATATTACTCATGATATATGTTATGACAACTGATAGTTTATTCTATTTTACTCAAACATATTTTCATGGAAAAATTTGAAATAACATCAAGACTTTCAATTTGAGACAGTCCGCCTCTCCCCAGCATCGTGCATAGCCACTTCTGAGTATAACTTTAAAAAGAAACAGGTTCTGAAAAACTTGAAAACTTAAAACTCTCATCAAATCCATGAAACTGAACTGACATCCACAAAACACTGCAGAAGAATATTTGGTTATTTTAAAGTGCTCCACTTTCAGAGTTCTCTGACCTGAGCCAAAACACAGGAAAATTAAAATTGAAACCCTGTGGTCTCATTTGGAGCTGGGTAATTGCTAAACAACTTGAATCTAAAGCACTTTTCAAAATACAGTGCCATGTTAAAGAAATGGAGGAGTCAGTAGCAAAACACTAATTAAATATGAAAGGAAATATATGACCAAAAGGTAGAAGGATAATGTCTCAGGTCTATAGTACCAGTTTATTAGAAAATATGCAAGCATAGCTCTTATATAAGACCCACTTATAGATTTAATTTAGAGCTGTATTAATAGGATAATCAAAAACTTGTATCATCAATCTGTGGCTGAACAGGGTTTCAGATGTTCTGAAACAGTTCCATTAATAGAGAAGGCTGCAACTATTTGCTAGTGCTTTGAAAGCACTGCAAGACAATTTAATTGACGAACATTTTTCAGTGTGTACTTTTTAAGAGCTTGCACTCATTAAAATTACTGATGTTCCAAGTTACACAGTGAAGAAAGGAGAAATTGAAAAAAATCCAAACAAGAGAGGATTTCTTTATTTTTAATTTCAGATTAAACAGATAAAAGACTATCACATTAAATTTATTACATAAAATGGCTGTATTAATGTGATTTGCAGTTTCACAAGGAATGACACAAAGCTAAAAAAACAAATCAGTGTTTGCAGTACTGCTTTACCTGTCTTTGTCAAGGTTATAGAACCAGAACAAGTAGTAATGCTTGCATTTTTATACCTTCCTTTTAATAGCACAGTGTTCATTAATTACATTTAACCATCTTGAAGTTCATCTTTTTAGGCATATTTTATTCTCACTCCAATACTTACGATTTTTAGAAAATATATTACAGAAAAAGGTTTTGGCTAAAGGAAACAAATATAATGGATTAGGCTCCATAAAAGGCTAAATCAACTGCTAGTTGATCTAAAGAACTGAATTTGGTTTTGTGAAGACAGTGGCTTTTGAGTGATACCTAATTGCTAAAAGAAAAATGGATAGATACTGTGGCAGACCCAAACCATTTGCTGAAGCTAATCATCTCTGAAAGCAAATCGAATGCCAGAATAATTTCTCAAAGACGACAAAAATTTAAGTAGTTTATAGGAAATATTTTATGTATACTTCTACCAGAAGTGAAACTATTGACAATTTTAGGTTACTCACTTCCTCAGTCTAGTCAAGTATTGTATAACACTGAGAATTACATTTTTTCTATTCTCAGGTTGTGGTTTTTTTAATATATGTTTTATTTTTAAAAAGTAAACATCAATTGACTTAATACTGAAACTCAGACGTCCTACTGGTCTCAAGCTATTCTGCATGATCATAAAATGGATTTTTTTGTCTTTTTTTTTTTTTTTTAATTATATTATTCTCATGCATCTTCTGAAACCTGGAAGTTGCATAAGAGCAACTTCCAATAGGATTTCTGATAAAATCCCCTCAGTGCTGTTGGTTCAACTTAGAGCACAGCAAGCCAGCAAGCAGTCAAGAAAGTCAGTGGTACGTGGGGATGAAAAAGCAGAAGACTAATCTTGGTTCTATTGAAACACACAATCCAAAAGAAGAAGAAGGAGGGAAATCTAATGCAGAAGATCCTCCTGTCACCCTAAAATAAGGATATCAAAATAAACAAATGAGCTTCTCCTTGCTCCTCACTATCGTATTATCCTGAGGCAATTTGGGCTCTCGGTATAATAATGTTCAATTGGTTGACAATAAATCTGCTTTTGCAACAATGGTAAGATTTAAGGATGTTAAAGCTAATATTTAAGAAGTACAAAACCAAAGATATTAAAGGGATGCACAAAATTTGAGTTTGAAGGGGAGAATTTTGAAATCCTTAGAGGTATGTTTTGAATGCTCACCACACCCCTTCAAACAAGGGCATCACCACAAATGTATCAAATCCCTTGAGTCCTCCAAGTTTCTTAACTCCCATCATATTCTTTGCAATAATTTAAGAAAACATAACTTAAGTGCTTCACCAAGTTTCATCATCATCAGGACATGACATAGCAGGAGCCTTCCTTTCTTTTATAGATCACTTGACTTAGACCTTCCTTTGAAAATCATTCATCTGCTGAAATATTTACAATTCCAGAAGAGGACACACACATTAGTGCCCCCAGATTAAATGACTTGTCTCCTCTACTAAAAATGTTTTACACATTTCTGTTTCAAAACTGCTTGTCTTGCTCTAATTCTACCACATCCCATTTTTCTTTCTTGTTTAAACTTCACTTTTCATCAATCAACATCCTACCTCATCTAAGAAATTATATTGGTCAAAACAGCTCCCTCATTCTGACAACTTTCTATTCTTTACTAAATAACTTTAATAATGTGTGATGTCCTCCCACCTTCTCCCATGCTCCCCACCTCAGACACCAGAAGCAAGCCACTCATTTTCTGGGAATATTTACACTCTGATTTGAAAAACTTTTAAGTGAAGATGCATGACAGTACTAAGGTAGTTAATTAAAATATGCAAAATTCAAGAGACAAGTCTCCAACAGCAGATTTTTTTTTTTTTTTTTTTTTTTTTTTTTTTTTTTTGACACTAACAAAACTGCCTCTTTCTCCTACACTTACAGGCCTCCTTTTTGGTTGTTGTTGTAGCTGTAGACATTTTCAAGGCCTTGAATGGTGTTTACTATTGTTCATACCTCTTTTCAAAACATGACCTCACTTATAATTGAGCTTATTTCAAGTCATTAGTACAGCAACTCAACAACTCTTAAGATGTCCCAATCGGTATTATTTTGAAAAGCTAGAGATCTCAAACGTCTATGCAAACCCTTATGGCCCTGAACTTCAATTCAGAGGATCTCAAAATATCTCAGCATACAAGGCCATGCTTTCACCAAGTTGAAGATCAAAGTCATTGTTCAAATTTGAGTAATAATTTTGAAAAACAGAAGCCTACTTGGTTTTCAGTAAGACTGTTTTTTTCCCCCTCAAATTCATTCTATGCTGATGCCGCAAAAAACCTACATCGTAAAAAACTCAAGAGTTTTATTATCAGAAAGGAAATGGCTAATGTCATGTACCCCCTCCCCACCGACTACTGATTTCAAAAAGCTCTGGCCTGCGAGGTAATGCAAGTCTCTTGAATAAACACTGAAATGCTTCTATTTTATCTGATATATTTGTTCCCTAATCCTACTTTCACCATATTTTTAGTCAATAAAACTATTTAGATAAAAAGTGACAAATGAAGAACAAACCTAAAACCAAAGCAAACCATTCTTGTAATGGTTCAGAAGTGCAAGAAGTTTCTATTTCTGGAATAACTTATTTTAGAAAAGGCTTCTGAAATTCTATCACAGAAGAAAACAGGCAATAAAATAAGGAATATCAGACTACAGAAGAGGCTGACAGAGAAAGACTTCTCTCTCTCTCTCTCTCTCTTTTTTCCCTTTTCTTCACTGCAACCTCTCAACCACATTCTCTTCAATGACAGAGCCAGGAAAAATGAGCATGCTTGAAATGCCGAGTACCACTATTTTTTATTTCTAAAACCTACCAGTAGATTCTTTTCAATACAGTAAATTTCATACTAAAAAGTAGGTTAGTCAAGTTGCTAGAAACCTCCTGAAAAAGCAAAAAGTCAATCAACAAACTACTATGTGAAAAAAATTAAAGTGCTTAACTAATTTCCAAAAGTCCTTAATTAATTTAAAATACATCCATTTGTTTCATTTATATCTATTAAAACTCATTAAATATAAATCATTAAGCAAAACCAATGCTAAGTTGTTTTTATGATAAACGATTAACATTTATAGCATAAGGTTTATCTTTCACTTCCTAGCATATTCCACGTTATAAAGTACCAGGCCTTCATGGGAGGAGAGTGCCAATGAGCTATCCATGAATACAGGCTTTACCTGCACCCTGCAGCAGTAGTACTTCCTGGAGATGCCTTCTACTAGTTACGTGAACTACTGCTGCTCATAAGCCTACACAAATCCTATTAAACCCAGGCCAATTCCAGAGAGCAGTACTCACCACCTCTTCTTGGCACTAAGAGACTTAGTTCTACTCTTAAAAAGTGAGACAAGCTTGCAACAGCATCCCTACCCTTAAAGTCCATCATAGAAAAATATGTATTTTGCTTATTTAGAAAACTCCTTGACAGATGCAGACATATGACAAGCATATGGTGACACTGTCTACAGCTGGTACAGGGCTTGATGACTCTGATTTTACCAACTACCTATTCACAGATGTGACTCTTATTCTGGGGAAAAACCTTCATTAAGGAGGTTGATTACAACTTTGCCAAAGCAAAATCTGGCCTGCACTAGAATTCAAACCATACTTTATTTGGCTTCATTTTATCTCAAAAGGAGGTCTGTTTGAGCGGGCAAATAACTTTCTCAAAGATAGCTGAAGAGCAACAAAGTTGCTGTGACATCTTTTTCCATCTTGAATCATGATTTGACTTAATTACACTAACTACTATCAGGCTTTTAACAGGTTTACACAAAACTCACTGTTCTCTCCCTTTTCTGGGGTTTTGATGTATGGCACAGCACTATAGTGTTCAACCTGGTTATCAATCTTAAGACTTCCACAGAGATATCAAGCTTTAGAAGAAGAACCTTAAACTGCAACAACACATCGCAATAGCAAGTAGTTCTACAGCCACTTGTCACTGACTGTGGCATTAGTATCGGTGAGCCATGCAGCAGTTTTTAAAAGCTGGATTAAAATTAAAGCATGGAATTAAAGCGATGTTAAATGAAAAAGAGTATTGCTTTACAGGAACTAGTGAAAACCACATGCTCAACCTAAAAAATGGCATTTGACTTTTTCTTTAAGGAAGAGTCAGTCCGTCTGGCTTTACTGCGATTAGCTCTGTTATACAGGGACAGAGTAGCATCACAATTTCCTAAATAGAATAAGATTGGGATTTGTTCTCTGCAGTAGAGACTTTATTCCCTATTCATGCTTCACAATCAAAGAAACAGTAAATAGCAAATCGACATAATGCTCTATCTACAAAGCCATTACAAAACACCTGCTCTAACAACTGTAATGACTCAGGGCACTCCAGTTAACACAAGTCAGCTCTCAAAACTATTCTCAACGGCAGCCCTTTTAGAACTGAATATCCAAAACAGCTTACCAGAAAAGATCAAAATGCTTTAGCCTACTGATCCTCAGGTTTGACAGTAAGATGAACACCTTCATCATAACATTCTTTCTAAAGAATGAAAACGAATAAAAGTCTAGCAGTATGTCTGAAAGATAATGCAGGGGCTTCCTTTTGAGTGGCCTTCTCTTTTACAGTCTCTATTTCAAGACAACTTTGAGGTAAGTAATTTAAAAGATTACGAGCCCAACACCAAAGCTTAAAAAGAAACCCAGACTGATGAAAAAAACAAAACCCCAAACTTTTCACATCCACCATCCTCAAGATACAAAACTCTGGCCTGCAAGACTACCCTTACAGAGGTAGTTTGGCAAGCTGATTCCAGCTTGATTTCCTTACACTTACACAAAAGCAGTTCTCATTCAGGCACACTGCCATATTGCTTTGGAGACCAAAGATAAGAAACAATCATTATTGAAAGAGGAAATGTCTATTTTTTTTTTTATTTGGTACTTGCCCAAATTGAATCAGGAGGCTGGTTTAGACTCAAGAGTTAGCCTACAAAGGCATCAAGCCAACATGGATCCACAGGCACACACCCACATACAATAAAAATTGTTTTAAATTACCATAAACATACAGTTTTCAGACTATAGCTATATTTTTTTACACTGGTTTTGTGGTTTTAAACATTTTAATTAAAGAAAACCTGAAAGTAAAAAGGTAAGTAATGTGATGATCTGACCCACCAGCCAGAGCAGTCAAAAATATACCCCAAACCATTGTTTGGCTCCAATTCCCACAATCAGAGCTAGAATCATTGAATGTTTTAGGTTGGCAGGGACTTCAGGGGATTGTGTGGCCAAACCCTGTTTTTAAAGCTGGGTTACAGAGTATCTCAAGTTGGAAGGAACCCATAAGGATGATCAGTTCAACTGCTTCTAGAACAGAACTTCCAAAGACACTCTCATTGCCCTCTAGGAGCAGTCTTGCCTTAGCATCTTGCTTCCTGTACTTTACCACTCTCATGTTTTTCCCTCCAGAGTGCCTGACTTCTGTTCCATGGAATTACTTCACATTCAGGTTTCTTCACACTGCATCTCAATAAAAAAAGAACCCCTTCCTAGGTGTTTAGCCTGCTTCCTTTCATGAGGAGGCAAGGAAACATTTATGGCATTTCCAGTCAAGCATATGATTAGCAAATACATGATCTCCAGCTATATATATGAATTTAAATCATTCAAGGGATGTTGGTGGCAGTCTGATAGGCAAGCATGTGTCCTAATGCTCTGCACCCAGCTACACTTGCCTATTTCAAATAGGCACATTTATAGGTATAACACAGGCTATTTACAGGTGTTATACTAGTTCCCATACCAACATTCTCTTCTCTACTTTCTTCATGCCTTTAAGCTAATACACATCTCAAGAGCTTTAGAGTGGTAACGTCATTTGGTGCCTTCAGCAGAGGACAGCATGTCATTTAGAGGCATTTGAGCCCTGTAGGCTTTGGCTCCCCTGATCTCATGCTAGATCACTTAAGCTTGTCACACAATCAAAATTTGAGCCAGGTAATAGGAGAAACTGGGGTTGTAATGGGGAGTATATGGTTAGGTAACAAGCTCAGTAGAGTTAGAAAGGCTGACATGGAGATTTATTAGCAAGGTCTGCACCTAATGGCATACCTTGACTGTAAATGAGAAAGTTCCTTCTGACAAAAAAAAAAACCACAAAAAAAACCCCCACAAAACCAGAAGCAGTGCAAAAGAAAAAGAAGGAAAAAGAAAAACATTCAGTGGCTGGCTGGAAAGAGTGGTGACAGCTTTCAAAAATCCTCCTCTTAGGAGTAGGGAGCTATCTCTCCAGTGCAGGCAGGAATAGTAAAGATGATGGCAGCAATGAATATTTTACCATGCTTTTTTCCCAGCACTATACTTTTATCAGACTCAAATGCCATCTTCTTGTTGTTTCCCCTCACCATGTTTATGACTATTTAAGCTGCCTGGAGTATGTTAATTAGGTGTAAATGAAGCATATTCACTGGTTGTTCAGTTCCTGTGCAAATCTATGATTGCCTAATATTTACCAAGTAATTAAAGGTCTTGTCTACTTTGCTGGGCACTGTTTGGTTTTCTGGGATATAAACTCAAATCTTCAAAACAAGAGGGAAGGAAAGCTGAGGGGGGAGTCTCACACCAGTTCTAGTTGCTTCCCATGAGAATCTGCCATAACAACGTTATCAAGATTTGCAGGTGCAAGGCCACAAGATCAACAATCTGAAAATAAGGGCATGAGAACAAGACATGAAAAATACTGCCACAGAGGCTCTGGAAAACACTGCTTCAACAGCTTCAGGGAAAAGTGACAGAGCTGCAACAGCAGGCTTTTAGCATTACTAATACTAAGGTGCGATGGTTGCTAAGGCACTGTGCAACACAGGTATGTCTGAATTTTTGTTAATACTCTGAAAAGGAGCTGTAATGCCCCTCAAAACAGAACTGGGGTGCAGATCACACCTGCCCTCTCTCCTTACCTCAGCTGGAGACTAACAACACTGGAAAGAATGGACTTTTTTTTAAAAAAAAAAAAAGTCATGTCTGATCAATATTATGTTTTGCAAAGCTGAATTTTTAGCTTGGATTACATAGACTCTGATGACTAATTTCACTTATATTCATGGAAGATCTGTTAGAACACAAAACACCAATGTTCAGTATGCGTGACCCAAACACACGTGTTATATCAGTGCTTGAGAGTTAAAATCTGGTCTAGGCCCCTCTCTTATAACCAAATGACATTTTGGGAAATCAGACAGTGGACACAACCAAAATCAGATCAGATTTTCTTACAGAATTATTTAAATAATATTTTATTTGGTTGCTTCTAGAGTATCTCTGGAATTTTACAAACCAAAAAAGAACGAACAGAACTCCAAACACAAATAATAATCTGCAAATACCCAGCTGCAAAAGTAAGAGTCATGTTAATGATAAAAATTTATATATTTTCAAGCACATTCTTACAAGCAACTATAAATGCAAAGAAATATTTTTATCATTATAAACCTCACCTTTGAGAGAAGATTTTTTGAACTGATGCTGTAGCCCCTAAGGCGCTCATGCAACTTCTGCAGGTGCTGCACAACTCTTCTTTGTTGATCATCATTCCTCAGTTCTTCTTGCTTAATCAGAAAGTCATAATGTTCTAAAGGTCCACTGCAAACCAATAAGGCTCTGGCATTAGCATCTGTAGGAGTACCAGGGACTGTCTTCTCAGCTGCCTGAGCTGTGTATGCTGTAAAACAAAAAGCAGATTACTAACAGAGAAGTTTTGAAAAGCATCCTCTTATGTTCCTGAACACCACACTTTCTTAATAGTTTACACAAATACATATATACATTACTTACTTATACAACCACTAGAGTATGTTACCCTGTCGTTTTTCATTAAATCAACTTCTAACTTTAGTAGTAAACACCTTCAGTATTATGTTTTGACTTTCAATCTTATTATTAACAAACATACACACTAAAAAGCCCAGTTGGAGAACTGGTAAGATTTGGATGAGCTGCTGCAAAGGAGTTTTGACTTTTTTTTTCCCCGCATATTGGCTCAAAACCATTTAAAAATCCAATCAAAGTGCATTTCTCTGAATAGGTTAATCCTTTGGAGAGAGTTGGGCTGAACTAGACAGAAAGAATTTAAAAGCCATATAACAGGAGACCAAAATAGGAGTTTTGTAAGCAAGTTTAAAGAGGCAAAGACCACAGTAAGCAAGGCAATAGCTGTGAGACCTTGTGATGCCACAGACCTGTCTGCTGGCATTATCTTCTGCCTAGAAGAGACAAAGCTATGCCCAAGCAGGCATTCTGTTTAATTATATTAAAAAAAAAAAAAAAAAAAGAGATATAGCTAGGAAAGGAAAGAACATACAGATTACAAAGAAGGCTTGCTAACTTGGTAAGATCAGAAATCTGAAATATGGAAATATGGTTAACACATTTTGTAGCAATAGTAAAAGAAAAGGATCTGAGTAGGAAAAATGCATAGCACAGGCTACATAGTTATATATTTTTAACATGGTGAGATCTAAGTAATTCCATCCCTAAATGCTTTAGGTAAGTTTCCTAAGCAAGACTATGGCCTCTTAACAGCTTTCTTTGAGGCCTCACTGAAAGCAGGTGAGGTTCCAAAACACAAGGAAAATGAAATAATTTGTCTTCAGAAAGAAGTTCATGGTCAGTCAACATAACTTCAAAACACTCAAAAATACTGGAACTAGTACAAGCAGGTGGGGTTTGGGTTTTGTTTGTTGGTTTGCTTGTTTAATAAAGCACCTAACAAGATAACAACATAAGAAATAAAAGGCAACACCAGCTCCCCAGGAACAGGATGAAATCAACAAGTCTACCTCTCTGATCAGGTAACATGCTTGGTGGGCAGAGGAAAAATACCTTCATTGCAGTAACTGTTTTGTCATTGAGTCACATAGCATCCTCATATATAAAGCAGGAAACTAAGTTGCAAATGAAATTACTTTTGAGAAGGTATAAAAAGAGCTAGAAAAAACATATGTAATGAATAATTACTACAGTTAAACTAGGTGTATATTTGCAGTAAGAGTTTCAGAGCAGGCTCAGAATGTCAGCTTGGTGCAATCCAGAATTTCCATTCACGACCTGCATATGATAAAATGAAGTACATGGACTGGGAACACAGGTAAGGAGAAGTCAGGAGGGGGCCGCACACACGCTGGGAAGCAAAGCAATTCTGATAAACTGGACAAAGACTCTAATACAAATAGGAAGCAATTCAACAGGGACAAAGTATGGTGCTTAGGGGAAATAAATAACTGAAGAAGGAGAATGACCAGCTAAAGAGTAGCTCTACAGAAAAGGATCTAGGGACTACAACGGATCACAAACTGACAGCGAGATATCATCATAACACTATCAGAGGAAAAATAAAATGAAAAAAAAAAGCCACAAGTACTCCAATGTATATATATGAGGGGCAATATAAGCACAGATTTAAAAATCCCATTCTATTCAATATTGGTACAGTCTGACCTGGAACACACTTTCCAATTTTTACATCCTATTTCATGACAAGTATGAACTAAATTGCAGAATGGAAGATGATTTAAAGGACTGTTTGTCAAACCATGGGTCACAGCCCACAGAGAAGTTGTAATAGGCACATGAAAAGTTTTAAATTCTTGTAAGAAGCATAAAATGAATATAGTTATAAAAGAGGATAAGACTGAATAATTAGATCAAATTATGTTTATTTACTGCAAGTAACACCTTAGTTTCCCAAAGCAAGACAGCCACCATTTACATCTGCAGCCAATAATTACACCAAATTCTCCTGCCCTGAAGGAACTGAGTTACTGCTATGAATTAAAAGTAATTAGCTCATCCCTAAAGAGATCATATAAAGAGAGTCGAGTTCAAAGTCTGTTATTGCAAAAATTTGAGTAAAACCTTTAGAGAAGAATAAAGAAAAGCACATAGCTATCTCCAGATACACAGAAAACCATATTTACACAGTTACCTTAATAACTGTAATTAAGGCAGTGAAATCAATTAATAATCTAAAAATTGTAAACTTTAATCTTGTTTTCAATCATTTCACTTACACATAAAGTCAACCTCAGTCCTGTGATCTGTACCTCAAAACTATCTGTGCCTTCACAACACGTAGAGCTTGATGGCTCCAAGACCTCCAATGTGAGGGACAGCCAATGGCCCTTATACCTACAAAGCCACCAGTTTCTACTGCTTCCCCCAAGACTGGAGAAAATAAAGGGTGATTTAGGAATAAGAAAGGGTTTGTGGCTCATGACCTTCCTGGCCATGGACAAAGCACACCAGTAGGACTGCTCAGAAGCATGGTTTTTGTCTCAGATTACATGTACCTACACATGGGAGTGGAAGAAAATACATCATTAACACATGGCAGAGATGGAGATTATGCACAAGTGATGACAGAGGGTGTCATGGGACAAATTCCTTACTGCTCTCCTAAAATAATATTGAACACTGGGATTTAAGTACGATGGGAAGTACACTATAATACACTACCAGGAGACACTCAGTAACTGGTAAGTGATAAACTCAAAACTTTTACCTGCAAAACAATGGCATATGCTCTTAAAAAGTGTGTAGGTGGTTTTGGAGGTAAGTCAACAGAAGACAGGTATTCAAGTGAAACTGTCCTAAGAGGCAGAAAAAATTGGAGTCTTCCATTCCAACCCATGTTTTGTGGGGTAGATTGAAAAATCATTCACATAATCATTCACACAACTACGCTTCCATAGTAATCTATTCCCAAGCTGATGAGGAAAATTAAACTTCAGAAATTTTAATACATAGCAGAGGAATACCAGGCAACTATCTTCCATAATTTAACAGTAGTTTCCTTGATGTAAGAGTAGTAAACACTTATGATTCAGCACATTAATCGCAGTCCTACAGCCTTCACCTCCATAATGCAAAGGATGGGTTTTAATTTATCTCTTCCTGTTTCATTATCTAATATTTGTATTACATCAACTGTTATTCAATTTTTATTAGCTCCCTTATGAAATCTTTGTCACACACAGAAAAAGCACCTTCAATCTCTTCTATAGTTACATTTGGAACACTACATAAAGTGCAGTCTCAATTCATTATTCACATAGTTTTACACTAAACAGTATAAAACTACAGACACGAATTTATTCATAACCTATTTTTTCGGCCTCTAGCATGCAGGTCAGTGTTGGACATTACCACATCTAGTCTGACATTCTGCGCTTCTTTAAGAGTTGCCACCAGGTTGCAACTTTTTACTAAATCTTTTTCCTAAAACATACATATTTAAGTGCAATCTCACTTTATTTCAGGACATAAAATTAGCTGCTTGCATTTGCCTTTCAGCTTGCCTATCCAAGGATCACAGACCAAGCTGCAGTGAAGATGTAGTGATATGCAAAAAAAAAGTCCTGCCTTGGAGAAATTCAAAGGGGAAAACTCATAAAAGCCAAAAAAACCTTAAAGTATAAATGGCTGATGAAAATGTCAATCTGAAATTATGAAAATTACTTTTCAAGTGGGGAACTTAAAACACCTTCAGTAACTGGCATTAATTTACCACTGCAAAAATAAGTGCCTACATAAAAATATAAAAAGTGTTAACTCCAGGGACTTTCTGCTCTGGAAAAGACCAGTAAATTGAAAAACTAATCACTATTTTATCAAGTTTTCCTACTCCCACTTAGAACTGATGTCCGAGATGACACAGGAAAAAGGCATGCGAGTTTCAGTGACACCACTTTGAAAGCAACAGTCACAGCTGAGGCACGCACAAGGCTTATGTAAGAAGACAATCTGAAATGGAAGCTGGGTTGTGATCTTGACAACAGCCAGGAGGTTGAGAGCATGGAAGGGTAACAGAGATAAACACCACTCACCCTAATAATCCTTATTTTTTCCTTAAGTAGTTGGATTTCACTATGTAAGGTTTTCAACTATGACATCTAAAATCTGTCAGAAGACAATTACCATGACAAAAATCCTTAGCAGGTCCTTGTCTCCCCCATATTTCAGGGCCTAGGAAAAGAACCTGGGCTTCCCTGACATGAATTTCACCTTTGCTATCTTTCCATGACTGTAGAAACTAACGTCTTTGAATTTATAAATCTGTGAGTTTTCAAGTAAGGCAAAAAGATTGCATGTGAATTTACCATTATTCACTTCTGGGAGAGAAAAGTATTGTACTTCCACAGATTAATTCAGATTTAGTCTGCAAGATCTCTTACTGCCCTTGAACTAAACATCTTTTAAACACACAATCAGAATTGTAGACTTCTAATGGTATGAAAAAGAAAAACCATGACAGATTGATAATATCCAGCTAAAGAAGCAAAGATAAAGCAAATGGAACTGAACTCCTTTTATTGCAAAAGGTAAGTCATGCTTCATATTACAATAATCACCTCACTAGAGGGTCACTCACATACCATACATGAGAAAATGTCTATTATTAATTCTGGAAACAAAGGCAAAACAAGCATTCAGGAGACTGACAATGGAAAAAAAACACCTCACCTTTAATCTTTGTGCTGTATGTATGCTGCAAACCACTCCCTCATAGGAATGATTAGAAATAGTTTCCATTCATGGAGATTTAAGTCCAGAAGACAATACTGACCTTTCAAATTATAAAGGAAGATAAATTTATCTAGTTACCCCTAAACTACACTCAAGAGTTGTGCTCGATTACAGCATATTTTGAAGAAAATACGTTCTGAAGATTTAAGAGATGGAGAATTAACCATTTCCTATAACGCTTTGCTGTAATGGTTAATTACTGTTTGTCTTAAAAAGTATTTCCAACTAATAGTTGTTCAAGACCTACATCGACACCAAACTCGTGGAGGTTAAAACTGCACTAAAGTTAACGACCCCAAAATCACCAACTGCCACCTTTGCTGCAGTCACAACCAAGAAGCTGGAAAGCTTCTGCTAAACTAGTGTTAAGGCAACATACAGGAATCACATCTGTTTCATTACTGCTCTGCAGACAGGACTCTGCCTTGAGAGCTTTTCACCTGTCTCTTATACACA